TTATAGAAAAATATTCATTCTATCCAAAACTACTTCAATGCTCTTTATGTAAACCACTTACTAAAGAGAGGCAATTACTCTACTATATATCTTAGCTTGTGTACAAACTACATTATGTCACGGTAGTGGTCCTCAACCTCTAAACTCAAGGAGCAAGTTGTCAGTTTTGCATTTTAAAGGGAAGAGGATCTTCAAGGCTATGATTGAGGAACTCAAATTATATATAAGGTTTAGTGATGCATTTCAAAATTCAAAACATACCAACAAGAACCTCACTTGCAAGTGTGTTTGTGTCAACAAGATGATATGAGTGTTTGGGTCTAATAAATTAATAAACTGCTATATTGTAACCATGTACCCAAGTGCACATCATTCATATTGCAAAACTCTCAACAATGCATCACAACATAATCATTGCAACAACCACTAAGCTTAAGCTAAGAAACAAAAACCTAAGAAAAAAAAGATTATGCTATCGATTTGTAGTGTGACAAACAACTGCAATGCCAAAACCACTGTGATCGATACCCTAAGAACCCAAAAAAAATATTATCTCTACACTATAATCAATTGTGCTCACTGCTATACTCTAATCAATCACACTTGGCATTGTGCTAGATTAGGGTATTACACTACAAATAGGCCACAAAAAATGAGAGGTGTGATCAATTGATTAAAGCATAGTTACATTAGGGTGCATTATAATCAATATACATCTCTATGCCATGAGAAATGAACCACAACTAAATGAGAGGAGAGAGATGATCACAATCAGTATATCAAAAATCTACACTCATAAAAATAAGATTTGTGATACACATCACAATCATGTTATCATGCATCACAAATAGGCCACAAGGAATGAAAGGTGTGATTAATTGATTAAAGCACAGTGCTTACATTTAAAGGTAGAGAAATGAAAGGAGAGAGATGATCATAATCAACACATCACAAATCTACACTCACAAGAATAAAATTTGTGATATACATCACAATCATGGTATCTGATTTGTGATATGTTGATATGCCACAACCACAAGAAATGAGCCACAACTGTGAGAAATAAGAGGAGAGATATGATCATAATCAATATATCATAAATTTGCATTCACAAGAATAAGATTTATGATACACATTACAATTATGTTGTCTAATTTGTGATGTGCTAATAAAATTTCTTTAATTAGCATATAGAATAAGATTTGTGATATATATCATAATCATGTTGTCACATGATCATAAATAAGCCATGAGAAATGAGAGGTGCGATTAATTGATTAAAGAAAAATGCTTACATTAGGGTGTGTTGTGACTAACATACACCTCCAAATCACGAGGAATGAGCCATAATTGTGAAAAATGAAAAGAGAGAAATGATCACAATTAGCATATCACAAATTTGTGTTCACAAGAATAAGATTTGTGATGCACATCACAATCATATTGTTTAATTTGTGATGCATCATCACAATAAGCACATCACAAATTTGTGCTGATTTGTGATGTATGATCACAATTAGCAAATCACAAATCTGTCTTAGTGTTATCATAAATTAGCAGATCACAAATCATGTTGGATGTGGCATGATGCTTATGTGGCAGCCTAAAGTGTCATGCCATATACATACATGGCATACCCTATGACAAAAATATTATACACACAATCACAACCAAACAAGAAATATTTAACATGATGGTGTGTATAATATTTTTACATGCAACTCAAAATAGAAATAGATTTGCATATGTGTAAATATATAATGATACCTAAATAATTCCTTGGAAACTATAATTATTAAAGGATACTGTTATTTTTAGATGTAAAGCAAAAACTTAAAATTATTACTGAATCATAATCATTTTGTTAAATGGAATATTAAAATTAAAAAAAAACACATAGTTGTATTTCTAAACTATGTACTACATATTATAAACTAGATTTTAATCTTGCAGTGCAATTTCTTTCACTGTGGTTCCATTTGAAGCACGTCTCTTCATCTCTTTTGAGATACCAAACAACAACTACTACTAGAAGTACACAATCTTTATCCACAAAATCCATTGATATTGGAAGAGAACACAGAAACATAATATCCTTATTTCATGGAATGCCCTTCTTGGAGCATACACTGAAGCTGGTCATTTAACTCAGGCTACTCGAGTTTACAGTTTAATGGTTACAAAATAAGCTGATCTCTTCCTTAGTATTATCAAACCATTAGTGACTTAATTCTCGCAACAAATACATCAAAGTTCTTTTGAGAGCTTCCACCTTGAGCCACAGCTCTACTTGCCGCGGCCTTGAACTCCTTGACTCGGTTCTTCATACCTGGACTATCCATAATCTCCCTCACAACTCGTTCCACCTCGTTGCTATCCACTAATCCATTGTCATTACCAATAACTTCCACTCCAATGCGGAGGCCATCGACCAGATATCGGCAGTTTGGGGCCTGGTCTCCAAGGAAAGGCCAGCCGATCAGCGGCACTCCAGCTAGAGTTATAGCTTCCAGCGTCGAGTTCCAGCCGCAGTGCATGATAAATCCTCCCAGCGACGAGTGGGCGAGTATAAGATGCTGCGGTGCCCAGCCGGGCAGCACAAGGCCTCGCTCCTCGGTGCGTTTTAGAAATCCCTCTGGAAGTAGAACCTCGAGCTCCTCGATCGACTTGTTCTTCACGGGCACCACCCAGAGGAATCGCTGCTGGCTGGCCTCCAGCCCGAGAGCTAGCTCGGAAATTTGCCGTGGAGTCAAGAGTGCAAAGCTTCCAAACGAGACGTAGAGCACAGACTCCACAGGCTGCTCGTCGAGCCAGCTCTGGCACCTTTCTTCCTCGGAGCTCCTCAACACCGCGGATTCCTTGGTGGCGAAGTACTTCGATGGGAAGAGCGGGCCGATTGGAAGAAGCTCGTGGTGTTTGATCTCCTCGAAACTCTCCGCGAGTGCCTTGAAAAGCTCGGGCTCCAGCTCCGTGAAGCTGTTGAAGAGGATTCCATCTGAGGAGATTATGTGCTCGTTGAATCCCATATGGAGGGGATACAAGCAGTGACCATCGTCGGTCATGGCGTCAGGGACGTCTCTCCGGTACAAGGGAAGCAATCCCTCCACCTTCATGGTCTCGAATCCCGGAAACTTGACTGGAAGAAGTTTCTTCCTGTAGAGAGATCTCGCGTGGAGCGAGAGAGCCAAGTAGTTGGGCGCGGCCGGGTAGAGGATGAATCTGGGGAGACCAGTCTTCACTAGCAGCTCCTCGCTCCAGTTGAGAATCATGTCGACGATCACGCAGCAAGGGGACGAAGAACTCACCTTAAGTTCCTCGAGCAGGGCCGCGAGAGCGATCTTCTGCCGCGAGTAGTCACTGGGCCACTCATAGCCGCTTCGAACCGCAACACGAAGGCCCTCCATCGTCCAGCCTTGTTGATGTTGCTCCTCTTGGCCGTGATCTTGGAGTGGAAGCTTGGTTAGAGTGATGGGCAGCCCTTGGAAATCCGTGGAAGCCACCAGCGAGAAAGAGGCCGCGTCTGGGACCACCAGAGTGATGGATAATCCCATGGAAGCTAGCTTCGTGGCGAGCGTCAAGGCTGGATTAATGTGGCCTATGCCGTTACAGGTGAGGAGAAGGACATGGCGAGTGGCAATTTTCTCCGCATTCTCCATAGCCGAGACGACAAAGAATGCTAGGGTTTAAAAATGTGTTGGCGGACTTTAGATTGAAATTAAAACCCAGCTCTGGATCACAGGAATTAGGGTTCTTGGCAGCTCAGAGAGAAATTCCTAGCTAGGGCGCGGCAGCGGGTCAGTCCATCGATCGATCGGCCGCGGCGAGAATGTTCCGCAATCAGTACGATACGGATGTGACGACATGGAGCCCGGCGGGGCGGCTCCATCAGGTGGAGTATGCTATGGAGGGCGTGAAGCAGGGAAGCGCGGCAGTGGGGCTCAAGTGTAAGACTCATGTTGTTCTGGCGTCGGTGAACAAGGCGTCGTCGGAGCTCTCCTCGTACCAGAAGAAGCTGTTCAAGATCGATGAGAATATCGGCGTGGCTATGGCGGGGATTATCGCCGACGGACGAGTGCTGTGTAAGTTCATGAGATCCGAGTGTATTTACCACCAGTTCGTGTTTGAGGCGCCTCTCCCCGTGAGCCGCCTCGTTGTTCAAGTGGCAGACAAAGCCCAGGTGAGATCTTCTTCCTCCCATTCTTCATTGCATTTCCTTCTTGATGGTCCTTATCTTCTTGCGTGCTCGTCACTCCAGTTTCTAGTTCTAGCTTGTTTGAGCGATCTTTCTCGCTTTTTCTCAGCTTCCTTGATCTTTTCTCTTTTTTGTCTGCTTGGTGATTTCCTTGTTTGAGTTTCTAATTCATCTCTCCATTGCATTTTTCCAGGTTTGCACGCAGAGATCTTGGAAACGACCATACGGCGTTGGCCTGCTCGTAGCGGGACTCGACGAAGCTGGTCCACATCTCTACTACAATTGCCCGTCCGGGAACTACTACGAGTACTACGCCTTCGCAATCGGGTCGCGCTCGCAAGCCGCCAAGACATACTTGGAGAGAAGGTTTGAGACTTTCAAGGACTGCTCCCGGGACGAGCTCATCCGCCACGCACTCCTGGCCGTCAAGGAGTCCTTGCAGGACGAGGAACTCAAGAGCACCAACTGTGGGATTGCCGTCGTGGGAGCCGACGAAGACTTCCACATCCTCGACGGCGAGACTCTCCAATCTTTCATCGACACCTTGGAGGACAACAAAGCCGAAGCCAAAGAAGCAGCTCCAGAGGATCCCGCGTCTACTTCCGGTGGTGGTGAAGCCGGTCCCAGTGCAGGAGCAGCAGAAGAACCACCGGCCGAGGCGACTCCAATGGATATGTGATTCACACACGGACGGCATCTTTCAGATCAGGGACTTAACTTTTTTCTTTTGATTCTGGTTATATTTCATACATTTTCTTTCTTCTTGCGTGCTTCTCTCAGGAAACCCGGACACGCCTCCAAAGCGTTTCTAGCCGATTTCCTTCTTCTCTGAACTTGAGAGCTCCAGGCCAGTTCTTTTGAGCAATCTGTTTGCTAACGCTTTGTTGACGCCTCTTCCAGTGGCGGCCTGGAAATAAATGTTGGACAGCAGCAGATAAGACGCCTTTTGCTGAGGATCCAAGTTGAAAGCCCGTGCCGCGACTCTCAGTCCCCTGGCTACATCGCCATGGATCTTACAAGCTCCAAGCAGCGTGATCCAGGCGACAGCGTCAGGCTTGCAAGGCATCAACTGGATCAACCTCTCGGCAACGTCCAACTGTCCGGCCTTGCCAAGCAAGTCGATCAAGCAAGTGAAGTGATCCACGCTCGCGGCTATTCCGTACTCACGGGTCAGCACTTCGAAGTAGTAACACGCGTCCTCCAAGGTTCCTCCGTACGCCGAGGCCGAGAGGATTCCCAGGAAAGTTATATCGTTTGGAGAGACCCCTTCCAGTCCCATGGTGTGGAAGAGCTCCATTGCTTGGCTTCCAAGCCCGGCTTGTGCGTACGCCGAGATCATCGCGTTCCAAGTAACTTCATTCTTGAAGCTCATCTTGTCAAACAAGAGTT